CGCGGGCCCGGGCTCCGGGATGGGGCGGGCGGTGCGGGGTGCGGGATCTGCCCCGCGGTGCTCGGCGCTGCACAGGCCGGAGTGAGCGGGATGCGGAGGGGAGGGCAGAGCTGAGCCCGGTGCCCGGGCAGGAGCAGGGGCAGCGCCCTCCCCCTCTGCCCCGTGGAGCCGCGAGTCCTGCCCGCCAGCCGCCTCCTTCCTCCGAGCCGGGGCAGAGCCCGGGCACTGCGGCCCCTGCCTGCTGTCCCCCGGGCCCCTTCTCGCAGCGCAGGGCCCCTGGCTGCTGCCTGGATGACAGTGGGACCAGCCCTTGGGCCCTGGCTGCCCGCGGGGATGTCGCCGCTGGCCGGGTCCTGCTCCCCTTGCATCCTCCACCCGCAGCCCTTCCGGCCTCGCCAGGCCTGGCTGCAGGTTGTGATCTGCCGGCTCTGCTCCCTCTGGCTGCTGTGCACTGAGCCAGCTCCGTGCAGCCTGTAGCCATGGACACCCCTTCCCTGCTGGCACTGGCATGACCCACTGGCCAGGACTCCTGGGCTTTCTTCTCGGCTTGGCCCAGCTTCCCCCGTGTCTGGGCCACGGGACCGTCTGCACTGGGGGCACTAAAGATGTCTCCCTGAGGAACCGGGCCCGTGGCCGGCAGAGGGGCGAAGGCCTTAACGGGGCCAGGAAGCCTGTCTCTGGGGCAGGGTTTCTAACGTGGCGGCAACCGAAGCTGGTGGAGCCCACGCATGGGGAGTTTCGCTTTCCGTTTCCCCACCAAAGCAGCGCAAGGAGGAACGCTGGGCGCAGGGAGGATCTGCAGAGACGGGGGGCTGAGGATGCTGGTTGTGGCCTGTGGGGTGGCTGCAGAACCTGGGGAGCAGGCCCCAGCACGGGGCAGGCCCCACGTGGAGCTCACAGGCTGGGGAGACCTGATGGGGAAGGCAGGGCCAGCACCCCCTTCCCAGCTGGGGGCAGGGACCTGAGCTCCAGTCTCCTTGTGCCTTCCTTCCAGCGTGGCGCAGGGCTGTGGGGCACATGCCCTCCCAGCTGGGCCTGCACGTGCCGCTCTACCCCCCAGGCTCAGGGCTCCACTTCCCCTCGAGCGTTCGAGGTTGGTCCAGCGCGGGCTGAGCCCAGTGGCCTCCGCCTTGGCCTGAGGTCCTGTCCCCTGGGGCCGTGGCCGTGCAGGGCATGCGGGGGGCTGGATGGGCAATGCTGTTGCTGGCTGAGGATGAGCTGGCAGGACCTGAGTTGCAGGCCTAGCGCTTGGCCGCCCCATCCAGTGCCCTGAGCTGGGGGGTCTCTGGGCAGCCCCATCCCAGTCCTGCTGTGGGGGCCAGGGTGAGGGGTGCAGGCAGGGGCAGGGTGAGGGGGGGAGGTAGGGGCAGGCAGGGGGTGCGGGGCCCTGACAGGTGTCTCTGCACAGGGTCTCCCATGGGCCAGCCTAGCCCTTCCGGATGCCATGGAGCTGTGTGCCCAGAAGCGCCCCCCAGGTAGGGCCTGCAGGGGGAGGGGAGGGTGCTGGGGACCCTCAGCTGCTAGCTTGTGGCCTGGCACCTGCACTCCCTCCGCTTGCTTTTTGGGGGTTCTGTTGTCCCGGCAACGGCAGTGCAGCCCCATTGGCCAGCTCATGGCAGTGGGTGGGCCAGGCCCTGCGGGGGGGGCGGGGCAACCGCATGTGTAGGGGGGATCACGGGGATGGGGGCGGACTGCGGGGCCATACACGGAGCAATGCCTGCCAAGGAGCCCTGGCCCTGGGTGCCCTGTGGGGGGGGGTGAGCAGCTGCTGTCACTGCCCCCTGGTGGCTCCAGCTCCAGCTCCATCATGGGAGGCTGCAGAGCCAACTCGACATGAGCTTGTCAGGCCGCACTTGGCCACCCCTCCTGGCTGACTGCACCACACTCTTGCAGAGGATGAGCGGCGGGTGAAGGCCAACGCACGAGACTACAACGAGAAGTTCCAGTACGCGGTGAGTGCCGGATCGGGCCCCAGGGCAGCCTCTGGCCGTGATGCCCTCCATGCTGGGAGGATCCGTGTAGCTGCGGGTCCCGGTGCAGGCGCAGGCACTGGCTTGTTTTTCCAGCTCCTTTCTCCCAGGGTCCTCCCCCCACAACACCCTGTCCTGCACCGTGGGTGCCCGCCAGAGCAGCCCGCCCCATGCTACAGTGGGGAGGAGACCTAGGAGTCTGGGGCAGGCAGGGTGAGCCCATCCTTCTACCTGGGGTAGGGACGTAGGTGCTGAGCCCATGTGCCCCAGGCCCTGCCTGTGTCTCACCCCCTCTGTCTCTCCCCAGAGTAACTGTATCAAGACCTCCAAGTACAACATTGTCACCTTCCTGCCCGTCAACCTCTTTGAGCAGTTCCAGGAAGTGGCCAACACCTATTTCCTTTTCCTCCTCATCCTGCAGGTGGGTGTGGGGGTCCCGCAGGGCAGGGGCCGGCCTGGGGTGCCCCGTGGCAAGGGAATGGGACCTGCTTTGGAGATGTCCGGGGTCCCTCGGGTGTGACGGCCCCGTATGCATGCAGCCTGCCCTTCCTCCCACAGGGTGGGGACACGGGCATTTCTGACACCCTCCCCACTTTCTGCAGCTGATCCCCCAAATCTCCTCACTGTCCTGGTTCACCACCATCGTGCCTTTGGTTCTTGTCTTAACCATCACGGCTGTCAAAGATGCCACCGATGACTATGTGAGTGTCCCTGGCCATGCCCAGCAGTGCTGGGCTGTGGGTGCTGGTCCCATCCCAGCCAGGCTGTGGTGTCAGCAGTACTGCCCCGACTGCCTGCTGGGCCAAGGGTGCCCAGGCTGGCATAGGGGGCAGATGGGATGCAGGGGCTGGGCCTGTGCTGCTCGGCACTGCCCTTGTTTCTGTAGCTCCCTGGAAAAAGCCAGAACCCCGTGTCCTACATCATGAGTCCAGCCATGGTGCCTAGGTGCAGGGGAACAGGGCCCTTCTCTGAGCCTCTATCCTGCCTGCAGTTTCGCCATAAGAGTGACAACCAGGTGAACAACCGCCAATCTCAGGTGCTGATCAACGGAACGTGAGTATCACTGGGCCGTGGTAGCACGGCCGGGGTGAGGGACTGGGGGAGGCCATGGGTCCCTAGGCTCGGCCAAGCTAGCACCAGGGGCACCAGCCCTGCCCTAACTTTGCACTGCACCCCCTTCAGCCTCCAGCAGGAGCAATGGATGAATGTGCGCGTTGGGGACATCATCAAGTTGGAAAACAACCAATTCGTGGCAGTGAGTTTGGTCCTGGAGCAGACGGGAGCATGCAGAGGGAAGGCTTCAACCATGGGGTCCCACAGACTCAGAGGCCATCCTGTCCCTGGGAAGGGCAAGGGTTTGGCCCCTAGCATACAACCCAGAACCCAGGGTCCCCTGCCCCATACCACACTGAGGGAGGTCCCAGCAGGAGCAGCCAGTTGGGGGCCCCGATCCCAGCTCAGCCCCGGCCCCGCCTTTCCCCCCGACAGGCCGATCTTCTGCTTCTCTCCAGCAGCGAGCCCCACGGATTGTGCTACATAGAAACCGCAGAGCTGGATGGGTAGGTGACCCTGGCCGTGCAGCCCCAGGCACCCTGGGCTCTGGACACTGCAGGGAAGTCGGTGCCAGTGCCGGATCTGAGGGAGGGGAGGGCTCCCCAGACACGCGCGTGTTGTGTGGGGTGGGGAGCGACTTACTTGAGGTCACTCATGGAGAAACCGGTGGTGCTGGAGGTAGAACCCCGGTGTCCTGGGGGCTAGTGTCCAGGGTGACATCGCGTCTTTCCCCTGCCAGGGAGACCAACATGAAAGTGCGGCAGGCCATTCCCGTGACCTCTGAGCTGGCAGACACAAGCAGGCTGGCCCAGTTTGACGGTGAGAGCCCAGTACCAGGCAGCTGATGGTAGCCTGCCCTGCCCTGCGCTGGCCATGGGTGCCCAGGGCTCAGGGCAGCCTTTGTGCCCTTGTGACTCTTACTCCTTGATCCAGCCTGTGCTTTGCTCCATGATCCCCACAGCTGGGACTGGAGTTGCCCTCTAGCCTGTGCTCCTGCCCCACTCTCCACAGCAAGTGGGTGCCCTAGCCTTCATGGAGCTTGTGGGCTGGGACAGAAGCAGGGAGCTGGGTTCCCCCCCTGCTCCTTTCTCCTACGCAGGGGTGTGAGATGCTGCCTTGCGGCCCCTCTGCCTCCTCAGGTGAGGTGATCTGCGAGACCCCGAACAATAAGCTGGACAAGTTCAGTGGGACCCTGTACTGGAAGGAGAACAAGTACCTGCTGAGCAACCAGAACATGCTGCTGCGCGGCTGTGTCCTGCGCAACACTGAGTGGTGCTTTGGCCTCGTCATCTTTGCAGGTGGGTTCCTGCAGCCGGGCTGGGACCTTGGGGGGAGGGGGGCTGGGGTGCAACATTGGGGTGACAGGCTGGAGCCCAGTAATGCGGGGGGGGGGAGCACCCCCCAGTTGGGGGGCATGAGGCAGGAGGCTCCCCAGGGCTCTCCCTGATGGTCATGGCATCCCCCATCTGCCCCCAGGTCCAGACACCAAGCTGATGCAGAACAGTGGCCGGACCAAGTTCAAGCGCACGAGCATTGACCGACTGATGAACACGCTGGTGCTCTGGGTACGTGGGAC